ACGTAGTTACGTTCAGCGTTGCTTTATTCAAAATCCACAAGCCACAGCGGGACCAAGAGCAATGAAATGAAGTCTTACTTAAATTAATAAGCTGCATCCCAGGTGAAAATAAAAATAAAAAGCAAAATTAGCCACAACCGCGAATTTCATCTTGCAAACTTGCAGATATTTTAATTTAGCAGTCGTTTCGCGCGAATCGGCAGCAGAGTGGCAACTCATCTGCCAATTTGCCTCGAGCTGCAACGCCATGGAAGCTCATACCGACGCTGCGCTGCTGTTGCTACCGTACGTTCGCATAATTATTCGCCGGCGCTTCGGCCAGGCGTGAAATGCGCTTTTCTACGCCAGTACACTTTCTTGTTCATGTACGCTCCGACTGTGAAGTCTGGCAACACTTATGCATATTATTATTTTTAACAGTTACTTGGGATTCCCATTAATGAAAATAGCTTGAATTTTTACATAAACGTCATTTTAATAAATTTAGCGTCCAGTTAACTTTTTTTTGCATTGTTCATCAAACAGTTCTACTTAATGGCAAAAGTATACGATTAACTTAAAGGGTTTGTAAAAGAGTTTACTTTGGAAAACGTAACGGTCGAGCTCCCGAGAATATGGAATGTAGTTTCGTTTACGAGCAAAAATTCAGTACATAAACAAACAGAAATGATTTTACCTAGCTTCGCAACTTTTCGATCTCGCAAGTGAGAAAAAAGAAACTCTTGCGTACAACTTCATCCATTAGGTCACCCCTAATCATGTTTCCGTGTTGAGATCCAGCGAAAACTCCCAAAAGCCTGTGTTATTTTCCACTGGCATTGTTTTCTACTTTCTATTCTTGCTGGCCGCACGCTTTCATCGAATCTCCCATTTCGACTTGAAAAGAAAGAGAAAGAAGCACGAGGAAGATTCGAACATCTGGATTACTTCGAAGAATGGAATTTCCAAGTTTACTCAGCGTATCAGCAAGTACGAGATAAACAACTTTTGGAGTTAGAGTGGTCAGTAGGTAATCGATGAGAGAATGAGTAAGTTGGCTATCTTCTGAAATAACCAGGCAGATATCGATATCATTTCACTTGACATCGATGTAATCGAAGAAATTGTTTTGATTTTTCAACTTGTATCGTAATATATGTATTATAAAGGCAGATTACATTTAACAAATTTTCCAATTATTCGATCGTTGAAACAATTTAATGAACTGCAATAAACACGTACTCGATGTGGATGATAGCAAGTATAACTTAAAACACTTTATTTTTTTTATTAAAGATTTAAGCCATTGTTTTGCTCGTACTTGACAAGCAAGAGTGAAAGCTTGGTAAGGTATTGATTTTTCAGACATATCGGGAACGTTCCATGTGAATTTCCAGTCGGCTGATGTGCCGGCAGAAAAATGTCAACGTATCCTTAGCGCGCGTCCTCGCATTTCGCCCCATAATTTACGCGCTCGGTAACCAAAAATAAGGGTGCGCATTTTTCCTCTTTCCCTCGGTGACGTTAATGGTCTTTTTGATCTTCCCTTCGTAACAGAAACTTGTGGCGATTTACGCCTCGGACGATTTTCCTCCTTTCTATCTTAAGCTTCCATCTCTGAGATACATTTCGGCAGCTAGCTCACATCTAGTGTGTATTTTCGGAAGGCGAGGAAGTCTCCAGTCGATAAAATTGACGCTAAGAGCAATTCACTCTGCTGACAGAATTGTGAGATTTTTCGTTCTACATTCATGACTCTGACATTGTTATTGATTTGTGGTTAACAAGCTTATTAAAAGCAACTTATACTCGATTTCATGAAAAAATGTTATGCGATATCAGCACTTAAAAAGAATGAAGAATAATACCGACCCCTGATGACTTTCCGATCATTCATAGATTTTCACACAAATGAGAAAAAAGTTTTTGAGAAATCGTCATTCATACTCAACAGTGCGAAACAGATAATAACATAAAATCCATCTGAAATTCGACTCGTCGAATAATAACGCTCGCAAACTTCCGAACAATTCTTATAATATCATCAGCGTCGACGCAAATCAAAAGGGATTACGACCATTATCTTGGCACAGCCAAGAAGTGAAATGAGAAAAGAATCCCCGTCGAATTGAATTGGCATGAAGGGGCTTCCTTAACCCAATTAGACTTTGACCGTTGATAATTAATGAAGTATTGGCAACTCGTTCGAGAGCTCGCAACTTCATTAAAATTCAAAGTCTTTGTTGATGAGAAGTTCAAGTGCCACTACTCTCGCAAATACTTAACGTCTTTATTGACGAGCACAGCTCCACTGCGTAGCGAGCGCCTGACGGTTGTTAATAACTTTATTAAAATAAAAGCTGCTCTACGTGATTTACGAGTATAAGCGTTGGCAGAAGTACACCAGGGTCCGCGTCGACAAATGCCAACTGTTTGCGTAATGAGAGTACTGTCCAGGGACAGCCCACGGCTTAAGAGGATGCTTTCCTGAAGGGAAATTATCCTTTACATTTTTAACTGCAACAGTATTTAAAAATCTAGGATTGTTGTATTTTTCAATTTCGCCGACAAAATAACAATATTAATATAAAGCACATTTTTATCTCTTTCATTTATGAGTAATATTAATGTATATTCAAATTATTGCAAAGTTCATTGATTTATCGTGTTTCCACATTTTGGTGATGACTTTTACCGGAACGAATTTACTACACAATTGATATGTGTGTGTATCATCAAATCTAGCTTATATTATACAAATTTTCTCTCTACCATTATAAAATTTCTTATGGCAAATAAAAATTACAAAATGTAACGTTTCAATTTTTTAACGTAAAAATTTTACAAGAAATGACAGAATGAACGGCCGAAGATCAATAAAAATTTCTCGTACAAATTTTAGTACACATTTCTGCATGACTTTGTTGAATTCGTTAATTTTCCCATTTCCACTCGTTTGCCAATTCAGTAAATCATAACGATAGAAAGCCATGGTACGTTGCGTTTTGAAATGAAATTGAATGAAACACGAATCCACGATTAATTCACATCTGATCACCACTTTTCCGGTCTTCAATAAAATAGATAAATTCAATAATCCAATAAAAATTCGAGTATAAATCGTAGGTAAAATAAAAAAAGTTGCGGATGGGGAAGGGTGGGGGAGGTAAAAGAGCGTAGGCCTATGAATCGGCAATTTGAAGAAAAGCAAATAATATTTATAGTCGCAGCTCGTCGGCGAAAATTGAATCGGGGGAGAGGAGCGAGGGAGCGAGCCGCGCACGTGCGCGCCTATAAATCAGGCGCGAGCGTAGTCATCATCGAGACTCGCGCGCCCGCGCCAGTCCATCGTACATCGAGACGCGCGATCGCGGCAAATTAAATCCCGGACACACAAAGGTAGCGGCTCGATAAATCGCCTTCCGACTCATAAATAAAAGGGACTCTCTCTCCCCCCGCTCTCTCGCAATCAAGCGCTGGAGCTTTTAGCGCCGCGAGTTACGAGAGACGCAAAGCACCCAAGAGCTTTCGCACTAGTGCGCCGCGGGTGTGCGAAAGCTCCGCGCCGAGATTTACGGCGAATCGAGCCTGCTGGATCGCTGAGACGCGATTTTCCGCAGCTTACGCGCACGCACCTATCCAACTTTAAAAACCTGTTATTGACTGTGCGCGCGCGTGTATGCGCAACGATTCGATTTGAAAGCTAAACTAAAACCGCTTTACCGTCATTTACGCGCGCCCTCGTTCATTTTTAAGGAGCCTTTTCACGCCAATGCTCCGCCTCATTGCTCATTTGTGTGTAAAGCTCATAGAGCATTTGCACACAAATTAACTTTTTTTTTAATTTTCAGTCTTGAAAAATTGACAACTTTTGAAAAACATCGTGCAAATTGTAAAACCCGTCGTTTCAATACAAGTATTATATCCAAGAATTTGTATGAATGTATAATCCACTGCTTGAATAGGTCAAAGTATTTTTAACCTTGTCTTCGTTGGCAAATTGATATACGGATATGCAGCGGTGTTTTTGATTATTCGCGAAGGACGCGAGTTTAAAACTATTTACAAAGGCAGTAAAATATTTGAACAAAGCTTACCACAATATCTAACCGTAGTTTCAAAGTGAAACTGTTCTGGGCAATTCATGTGTTGGTATGATCCTTTAGCCCCAAATGTGACATAATATCATCAATCGTATAACGACATGGAATAATATATTGAAAGAAAAAAAATAACGGTTAACAGTGTGAAAAGCCTGCATCATCATATCTAATCCGACCCTCCCTAACTTTATCAATTACGGGGTAGTTTGATCAGACGCGATATCGGGAAACTTGGCAAGTGCGAAACCAAACACGAATGCAGCGTACATTTTCGTCACACGACCTCACACACGAGTAAGCCAACCCCTTCTCTTCTTCGAACGCGCTAACAATTTCAGAAGTTCAAACGAGGCGCGCCGCGCTTACGTAGTCGCATTGCTGCTGCTGAGCTCTTGAGCCTCACTCAGAAAAGTCGGGACTCTGCAACCGCCGCTGCCACGTGTGCTACAGTTTCAGTTGCCAAACTCTATAGCAGCACTCAGTCGAACTCCAATTGCAGTCGGAATTATATTATGCGAGTCCAGTAGTGGCTTCACCCGACACTCGACCTAATTGCCTGTGTAAAGCGCTTCAATTCGACTGTTGATTTTGCATTCGACGACCAGTTCCCCCCTTTTAGCTTTTTGTTGTGATAATGTGATGCAGTGAAGCAAAACGCCAATTTACCATTTTTTTTTCTCCCAGAGCGCAAATTTGTCATATTTTAACAATTTCACTCTGCTATTTAACTAATTAGAGAGATAAGTGGAATCAAAAGAAGATATAGAATGATGCGGTGGAAGGGGCCATGATAGAAATATATATTTACGTTTGTTGATAACTAATCGCAGATATAAAACAGAAAACGCGTCAAGTATAGAATAACGTTAAATTCATCACACAAATCGTAAACGAAAAAGAAACATTTTTGAAACTTACTTTTAAAGGAGGCCTCCTGGGATCCTTTTTAAATTCCGTAAAACGCCGCTCGAAACTGTCGTCCCAATACTCTCGACTCCTCATCCAAGATGGCTGAAACAATAACATAACATAATTTATTTAGATTCCACACTCAATAAATATAGTTCGATAATTTTACAATCAAAAACAATATTGCTATAACGGAGCATAGTCAGGTGGGCTTAAAAGTTTGGCGGTTACATGATCGGAAGTCCTATCTATCGGAATACGAGCTACATTTTCCCAATGCATCTGATGAGTCCAATAAAATTCTCTTTCAGAAGCCGAAATGAAATTAAAGCACGAAATTGCATATTTTTCGCGGACTATTACGCAATAGCCATCCCTTACACTTTGCAATCCATATTCAACAATCATTATGCAAGTTACATTCCTGTAAAAATACTGCAATGAAATTGATTTTCCAGAAACTGTACGTCAAAGCATTAATTTCAGCAATAATAGTCAGGAAGCACAAGTACCCTTCACTAGCAAATATTAAATCGATTAAGTGCAATATTGCGCGATGGACTCAGTGGAAAAAAGAGGGAATCGCTAGCATTTACCCCTAGGTCAACTTTTTTTTCGAACCAGCGACTCCTGATGGGAGATCGAAGAGGTAATAACTGATTTTCACGCATCAGCGCCACTAATCGCTGTGTGAGCGCATGGTTCGTCATTTCATTCCCGGACGAACATCACCGCGAGCACTTTTGCAATTTCGCAAGCGAACTTCTTCCATTTCCTTTTTTTCGGGGTTAACGGGCCGATCGAAGTGCATGCTCGCGGCATGGTCGTTCAATGGGTCCTTTAACGACTCCCGTGGGGACCAAACAGCAAGCACTCGGCATGAGAATCAGGAAAATGCTCGACCTCTTTTAGATGTTCCATTTTTTCGCTTAGCTTTCTTTATTCCATCTCGATCTTTCGAGCCGTCCACCCTTTCCCTCTCTGCCTCAGCACCCAACTATCGAACAGTTTGATTTGAAGCCTTTCATCGCTGACCTATTTTTATTTTCCCTCGTTTTCTTTTCTTCTTCTCATTTAATCACTGATATTTCAAAAAATAATCACTTGGATGTTTTTGGGGACTAATGAGCAGTAGAATTTGTTTTATTTCAGAAATTTTACTGGATCAATAATTTTAAAAAGTATGCAAAAACTTGATTTAAGGAACACCCAGTGTCTCAAAATTCGAATATTATTTTAATAATCTCATCTTATCAACTAAAAAAATTTTATTAAGTATAAATTCAGTAGCGATTCAAATTAAAATGCATATAATTAACAAGATATCGTCTCTAATTATAACGACAGATTGATATGATTCACGGCGGAAATGATTGTATTATCAAACTTTGCTTTCCACGTATACGCTGAATTTGACTGTATATAAAAGACGTGCCGTGTCATTCTGATCACAGTTACTTCCAAATTCAGTTACTGAAAATCTGTAAATATGATGAAATTTGCAATTGTGTATGTAAAAATTTCGTAATAAGAGATATTTACAATCTTACGACAAATTTTCAAAACTATTAATAAGAAATGTTTGGCATTTGCATATTGAATTTTCGGTTTTATGCTTCTTCACGTTCTTCAGAACTCACAAGTAATTTTAAGTAATAATAAATAATAAATTCATTTTAGTGTTGCTTGTGTGGCACTATCGCTGCCGGTTGATGCTCGCTACGTGATTTCTCGTCGCGACATAGACGACAATGAAGTTTCTGTACCAGAATTCAAGGTTAACGCACCTTGGAAAGGTAACCCTGACGAAGGATATCCAAAATTTGATGGTAATCCAATGAAACAGTTATTGGTAGAATTAACGTCAATGATGGCTAACTTCGCTGCTATTGAACTCGAGAATGAAAAAGATGTTCCTCCGATCGTCAAATCAATTGTTAAAGGCGCTAAGAAACTAGATTGGGCAAATTTCGATGAGTATTTGAATTATTGGGGATCGGCTCAAGTTGCTCTGATGGAAGTGATTGAAAATGATCAACAAAATCTTATAGGATCAGATGCAAATAATGATGAAGATAACGTAGAACAAAGTTCATTCTCTATATATATATGACTTTCTACATTTATATTTCGTAATAGAATATTAAAAGTATAACGCATATAAATTCTGTCTTTTTAATTTTCTTCATCGCTCACTTAACTGATATAAACGATGCATTGAAGCCAATCAATTATCATTACTAATCAAAACATGTATAATTAATTTTGGAATATAACTTTATCAAGTTCAATATTATTTAGAGTTAATCACGAATAAACAAACTATTAAGTAGCCACCGGAAGCAAAATTTATAAACGAAAAAACCCAAGTTTAACTGAGGTATTCTTTATCTAGGTATTTACACAGCCGAAAGATACGACTTGTGAAACATTTTAATTAAAATTCGAGAGTTATTTAATAAAATAGTGGAAAAACAAGTATAACCAAAGGGTAATGAGGTGTAGCTACAACTTAAACTTTTCAAATAATTAAACTAATTATAAACTTTCTCTTCTACACACCTTGTTTCATTGAACTAACACAGCTAGGTTATTGGATGAAACGTAAATGTTATTTTCTATAAGCTGACAATAACCATATGTTGAGCGCTATATTTTTGTCAATTTCTTATTTTTATTTTTCATAAATTGAGTTATATTCAAAATGAAAATTATAAATATTACTAATATTACGATGATTTTCACATATAAGGTATCGACATTACCAACTGCAACATCAACTACATGTGTAACGCGATGATTGACATATATTACGTTAAGTATTAAGAAACCTTGAAAGTTCAATGTGAAAATTCTTTTCAGTCGAATAACTTCATCAGAACTGCATCTATCGAATCGAAACATTGTAATAGATGGTAAATTAGTTAATAGGAATATCTGTTACTGATGCAGTGAATCGCGACTCTTGATATTGGAAAGATATAAATTTTCGGAGATCAGATGAATAATATCAAGATTAATAATACACGTATAAAACTGATTTTTTTATAGTACATAGATTTACTTTCCAAGACAATGTATATTATGTACAAAATGACAACAATCATTACATGTATTTTTATCAAGTTCGAGGATTTTCCTCCATAGGCGCAATTTATCTTCGCTGTTAGAATTGTAACGATCAGTCCGAATCATAAATAGAGTGTATGAAACATTAAAAAATTTGAGTATTAGTGAAAGAGATCAATCGGTCGATCGTCAAATAAGTCGAGCAGATTTTGCTTCCCTGTCGTTCTTGCGGCTGACCTACGGCACATAGTGGTTTGGCGTTTCAGGTGACTCGCGACCGCACGTACGTACATTCGTTTATTACGTACGAGCGTGAGCGCTCGTATACACAGCCGAGAGTGTCGCTGGGCATTAAATCTCTGTTCCTGTTCCCATGGAGCGATATTTGGCGCGTGCCCGGCACATGATTTCTCGCTCGGTTGTGCGAATTCTCTTATTTATATATGCCCTGGCGAGAGGAACGCCTCGCTAAATATGGAATAGCTCTCGCGTCGGCCCTTTATATTATCTTAACTTCTGACTTTGAATCGCTGGCGGCATACACGCGAGTCATGGGGTCTCGGCGGACCGGTCGATAGATTTATTCGCGGTGCGAGTGAATTGTCGCTGTGCACCAGTTTACTGTATGCAACGGCTGTCTTATCACCCCTGTCGACACTTATTCGATAAATAATGCTCTCTTGCATTCTGAATTGTTTTCACTGCCACTGACCACAATCTGATAACAATACTACGTTTTATTTTTTTTTTCAATGATTTATTTTCGATTCGAGGACGGCTTTGATAAGAAATAATGAATTTCGATGTCATGACGTTCGAATAATGTATGGATATTAAACCGTACATCTTTAAAAAAAACTAGATGAAATTTAAACAATGCTATACTTTCGATTTACCTTTAATAAACGTACATAAGATGTGCACTTATTATATCTTTATTACTTAAAAAAGAAGATAAAAGTTAACAAAATTATAATAACAAAGAATATTAACGATAACGCGAGAGGTGAGGAAGTTAACTTACTGCAAGTGTATACTACTCCTAACTCTGGGACTGAGTATATTATCTCCTGAATTATTTTCTTTTAAACTTTTAAGTCGCTTAGAAAAACTTTGATAAATTTAAAGTTGAACTGTCATATAAAAAAAAACATTCAAGAAAATTACTCTCGTCAGAAAGTACCGCTGCAAAAAAACGTGTAAAGCAGGAGGCTCTAAAGTAAAAGCGCATGCGATGGAGCCTCTGGATAAGGATCTAACAGTGGCTGGTCCCGACAATTAATCACTATTTGCCGCGCGACGTAAGCCGCGACGACGAGGAGGAAACGAGAACGCGCGCAAGCGTTATAGTTTTCACGCGATACTACGACAGATAAGACTTGAGCGCGAATAGTTAAAAGTGCTCGTTTGTTTCGCTTGCAGCTCCCTAAATCATTGACCCTTCGTCTCGCGTGGATTTATACGAGTTAAGCTCTAATCTAACGTTAAACTTATCTTGGTCGAAGAATATTTCACGTGAGTTGCTGATGCATTTTGAATTAGTTTGTGTAGCGGAAATTGCGGCTTGAGATTCGAAGAGGGTAGGAGAAATTAATCGAATTCCGAACTTTTCCATCAAGGGATCCATCAAGTGGAATTTTTCTAAAGTTATCGTTACGAAAACTGTCCAAGTCAAATTGATTCAATGATAAATGGTTTGTTTCGAAGTTCTTGTTTATACGAATCATCATTTGTGTAGTAGTGTTTGAGTATCGCGTTGGTCAATTATCGGGTTCAGAGACACGTTTGACAATTGTTATTGTTAATCTACCTATTTTCTATTATCAATTTATTCATTGATAATCAAGTTACGATAATTTGCTAATGAAAGCGCATAAATATTAACAATGGTGTTGGTGAATAATATAAAGCGTTGTTCTCAACATTGATCATAAAATATTTACTATTGAAAACCAAAACTTTGTAACTTTTCAAAACGACTGATGCGAGTTGATGAAAAGTAAATTTTTAAGTTTGATTTATTGTGGAAACGA